CTATGATGCAGTTTACTTGGCATCTCAAAATACATTTCCTCAAACGTATTTTTAATCTGAAAAGAGCTTCATTGAGTGAGAACTAATGTTGAGAGCTCAGTTTCACTTTCACTTTGACCCGAGAGCCTGCAGGAGTCATGGGCGGGGTGTGTTGGGTGTGTCGGGTGGGAGGTGGGGGGTGTGCTCCATGATGAGGAAGTTTGACTTAAAGACACGTCCCAGAGGCGTTTCTGGAACTAAAAGGTGTTTCTGGTCCCCACCTGTCGTTTTGCTCCTCAGCATGGCTTCATAAAAACGCTGCAGGATTTCTCAAACATGCATGAATGAGTCAAAGCAAGGCTTTGGACATGTTTTTATGAGAGAATAACATTATAACATGATATAAAACTCCAAAAAAGTTGATATTATATGATATTGCCCCTTTAATAAAATCACAAAACATAATTAAAGACAACAAATAGTTGAAAAATAACGAACCAACAAACACTGAATTTTAGAAAAGAAAAAAGAATACAGAGCATTTGTGAAACTGCATCGAAATATTATTGCGGACGTGGAGGAAAAGCTTAAAGAGGATGTTTTTCCTCCTTTGTGTGCTGCTGCCAGGCAGTCAAAGTAACATGTTAGCAAAAAAAAAAGAAAGTTTGGAAATTAGTTCGCTGTTTCAGCTTTGATGGGAAGTATTCTTTAAAGCAACATCGCTAAAGCTTAGATGATCCAAAAGCAGTTTTTGGCTCAATCACTGCACAGAAAATGTAGAAGATTTTCTCTGTTTCCTCCTCATTCTTTACCAATTTTGAGTTTATTTCTCAGTTTCTTGCCTTTTTTCCCCTTTCCTGACAAACTACTGACCCATACTCTGAGAGCATGCTGCATGTCAGAGCTTAGACAAACATAGGATGTAGCAAACATAAGAGAAATATGCTATATAAAATATATATATGCTATATAAAAAAATGTTTAAGCATCTGAAAGAAAAAGTAAGGAGTAGGTGTGGGAGTGAGTTTGTACCTCCTGGTGTTAAGAGTCTCTTGACCGTTTGCTGACACGAGGCCCCCTGCTGCACCTGGACCGTCTGTCCTTCTGTCTCCATATAAGCCTCAAGCACTTGTGCACACACACTGACACACAGCAATACGCATCCTTTTTGGTTCACAGAATTTGTTTCCCATATGAAAGTGCATTTACTGTAACGCCACCGAAAGAGGTTTTAAAATGACGTAATAATCAAAGCTCACGTAAAATTTTTAATTTCCCGTTTCAACGTACACGTTCAGTATAAAGCGCAAACTCCCTCCTAGACGTTTGTCTTTACTGCTGATGGCAGTCTTTGTGTTAAATCTCTTAGGTGTGTTAACTTGAATGTGGTCAGCACATTTTTCAGAGGATTTAAATCTCTGTGAGCGAGCAAATCTCTTCCTTGCTCTCATATCTGTCCTCCTCCTCGTCTTCTCAGTTCTATCAGTTTAAAACCAGTGTACAGTTTTAAATACATGTTGTGTCAGATACTGTTTGCTTTCAGGCTAGTGTTGCTGTTTTAGATCATTACTTTGACAGTGACATTTCAGTGTCACACAATTGTATGTCATATGTTTCAGATCTTGTAAATGTCTAATAAAAATAGATTTTTTTTAGCCTAGAAAAAGTTATTTTCTTTCAAGACTTTGTGGTTATTCCATAGCAAATAATCTATACTTTGCAAAACTTTATTTTGAGTTCTCACTACAATGAAGAATTTGTTATTAGTGCATGCAGATATAATTTGGAGCACTGTTGAAACTTTCAGTGCTCGTTAGGCTTTCCTTTCTTTTCCTTGCCCTTCCCATCTTCTACCCTCTCTTTTCTTCTTACAAGGTACATAACACCTCTGTCTTCCTTATCCACCCTTAAGTGGTAACCACGGTAACATCCAATCCCCTGAGAGATTGGCCTAATTCAATTAGGACTCCTTTGTGTCAATTAATTAACGAGACAGAGAGGGAGACTGCAATTGGGAGGCTGAGACTGGGCAAGAGGCAGCGCAGCGCCAGAAAACCAGCAAGTGGACTTTTATTCAGATGTTGTTTCTGTAGATAATTGATTTTTTTTTTTTTTGTGGAGTAAAAGAGTTGCATGAGTTCAACAAGAAGAACAAAAACCTAAAAGTGGAGCAAAAAAAGCATATTAAGAAAGAAATACAAATTTATTTGTCAATTTCTTCATTTTACACCTCTCATCTTTTCTGCTTCTTTTTGTAACTTTTTATATCTCTTCTC